CATTAACTACACAGAGCCGTTGTTCACAGACGAGCTGCGCAAAAAATCGCGCGAATATGAACGTGGTTTTGCGCAGCTCGTCTGTGAACAACGGCTCTGTGTAGTTAATGCTGCTCAATGTGAAAGCACGCACGTGATGGAGATTTACCGCTGATTACAGAATGGCTTTACTGACAAGATGCGCGTTAAATATCGCATGCGATTTATCGTGCAGCCCTAGTTCAGATTTAATATAAAAATAAATGTAATAATATATAAAAATAGATGTAACATTAAATAAATAGTGTAAGTAAAATGTTTATGATATCATTCATGTCAGATTTTAATTCTTTTGTTATTGAAAAAATAAAGTCGATTTCATAATTTCAGTATTACCCCATTCAGTCAGATTGAAGCAGTACTTAGAAAATAGCTGCCCTAGTGCAGTCTCAAGAGTGAACTGACTTGCCTTGCCTTTACAGTTAAAGAGCAAAGTAGGCATCACAAAAGTGAAAGTTTCTGTCTTCTGTTTCTGATTTTTTATTTTCAGTCAGGTGACACTAATACCTGAGGAAGCAGAGGATATGTGGCACACCTACAACCTGCTGCAGGTGGGCGACAGCCTCAGAGCCTCAACCATCAGGTCTGTCCCTTTTTTTATGCCATACTGACCACCATCTTTTACCAGTTTTGTTTTATCACACTTGTTATCTGAGATTTTTCTACTCGGTGAAAACAATCTGATGTCACAAACAGGAAAGTGCAGACAGAGTCCTCCACAGGCAGTGTGGGCAGTTCACGTGTGCGCACCACACTGACTTTATGTGTGGAGACGATAGACTTTGATTCCCAGGCCTGTCAGCTCAGAGTCAAAGGAACAAACATCCAGGAGAACCAGTATGTGAAGGTCAGAGTGCATTTAGAAATGTATAGACTGCTTTTTAGAATTTTTAACTTCGATTTTTTTTCATATTTCAAAGGTTTGTTGCACTTATGACATGTAAATTTATGTAAAATGTATGATATAAATAGTGTTGACATTTGTGCCAACTTTACACCTAAAATAGAATTTATACTTTATAAATTTGAATATTAAGTATAGTAATTTATATTGACCCTCTGGGAATATTCCGTATGTTAATTTAGCCTAAATGTGAATGCTTTTTTCTCTTGTGTCATATGTAGATGGGTGCCTATCATACCATTGAACTGGAGCTCAACAGAAACTTCACTCTTGCCAAAAAAGTCTGGGACAGCGTGGTGTTGGACAGAATTGGTAATGTGTTGGTGTTTTTTTTAGCATATTTTCTGACTAAAATGAGCTTTTCTGACTAATAACTATTTCACATACTATGTAACAAAATGTTTAAAAAATGATTAATGACTAAATTATGAAAAAATGATTAAATGCTTTCTTTATTATTTTATCATATTTATAATATTTTTATAATTTTATGTTGGCATCCAGGTTTGAAAACAGGAATTAATTTTTTTTCTTTGAAATACAAAAAGATATATTTTGCAAATAAATCACACTGCTTTCTTCTTTCATGCAGTGAAAATGGATGTTGATCACCTCTATCAAGCTCTAATTTTGTTTTGTTTTTTAATTTGTCCCGTCTGTTTACAATCACTTAAGACACATCTCGTATCTGGGATCTTTACAATAATTTCCCACCCAAAATAAAATTAAAATGGTTAAAAATGTGAAAGTGACTTTTTAAAGCTACCATGGTAAAAAGGATGGTTTTAATGCTTTCCAGACCTAGAAGGCAAGTAGGTACTTTTTTATTACTATCGTTATGTTAGCATTTACAGACACTTCAGCTTCATAAGGATGCTATGTAAAGAAACATGACGTGTGCCTTCACCTTGTGTGAGAAACAGAACTGAATTTTGTAGTTGTACTTCACCAAGTATCTTAATGGCTTGACAGCTGCAGTCACCATTCACTTTCACTGCATGGCAGAGAGCAGCCATGAGCATACTAAAAGGTTAATGAATCTGATCCAGCTCATCACTAGTTGATTTGAACCCTGATTCTTCCCTCATCAATAGAGCAGGCATGTGACCCCGCTCAGAAAGCAGATGTGGCTGCTGTTGTGATGCAGGAAGGTCTGGCCAATCTGGTTCTCGTGACTCCAGCCATGACCTTACTAAGGGCAAAGGTTGAGGTCACCATCCCCCGCAAGAGGAAAGGCAGTTGTGCTCAACATGACAAGGTGAGCCAATAAAACCTTGTGACAATAAATCTGAAAATGCATTTAGGTGTTTATCATTATATTGAGCAAATGATTGTTAGCAATAGATGTAATCCATTAGAAATACAATAGGTATACAATGGATGCAACTATTGTTTCTACATGTTCTGCAATAGATGCTTCTCAGTTGCTTCATGTATATTTCAAAATATGCATACAGTGATAGTGTTCTCTTTCAGGCATTGGAGAGATTTTATGAGGCTGTCATGCAGGGCATTCTTAGACACTTCAATTTTGATGGTAATTAATTTTTTTAAATTCAGATCATAAGGATGGACAATGGACAAATAAATACTGATATTTTTGTTGCATTTGTGTTTTTTAGTGGTGAAGTGTATTCTGGTGGCCAGTCCTGGATTTGTGAAAGATCAGTTCATCTCATACCTGTTTAAAGAGGCTGTGAGGCAAGACTGCAAAATTCTCCTGGAGAACAGATCCAAATTCATGGTGGTGCACTCCTCATCTGGACACAAGTATTCACTTAAAGGTCAATACTCTGTTCACCTTTCAAAAGTGAAGATGTGCAAAACTTTCATAATTTACTAGTAGGCTTGCCAGATTTTGCTGGGATAAGGGAAAACATGAATAAAATTTACAGTTCTTCAAGGAATAGAATAGCGTTACATAATGTAAAGTCACCTAATGAAATGTTTGTGACTCATTAAACTATAAAATAACTAAATGTTACAAATAATCTGCTTTTCAAAGTCAGGACCATTATCGGATGAAAAGAAGAGTCATCTCTTTTGCAAGACGGTTGAGGTCTAGTGAACAATACACAATTTGATCTGATCAGTTTAATCTTTCAGTTTCATTTTCATTTTTAGTTAAAGTAAATAAAAACTACATAAATTGTAAGTTTCAAAAATTAAGCTGTCTTTTGTTATGTAGGCACTTGGGCACTGAATATTTTCCTCATAGCACCATCTTGCGTTCAACCTTTGGTATGACTGGTATATTTGGCTTGAATGTGGGTACTGTACCAGCTATATATGCTAATATATAATGCTAAGTGCTGTTTTAATATGATAACTAACAGATATTATGGAAATAAATAAGCAAAATTATTTGCATTATTTGTTACGCAAAATTTTCATATATTCTTATTTAAATGACGCTCCAATGCAGTGGTGCAAAATTTTGGAATATGTTACATTTCGACTGCAACAATTTTTTAAAAATGCTCATCTATTTGACAGACACCAAGTGAGCAAATAACACTACATCATTCATGCCACAAAACTGTGGATTCTGCATTGAAACACGAAAAATTGGTTAAATCGGTCTCATTCACTAACCAAGTGCAAGCACAAATTTGTGTATGATATCTACGTTTTCTCAAACTTTAATAATACAATTTACTGTAAATTTATGAAACTATAGGAACAATTGAAACTGCTCATTGGCAAAAAAAAAAAATCACATTCTTGTGGTGCCTTTATAAATGTTAAAATGATGATTTTATGCAAATATATAAAATCTTACATATATCATTGTGTGGCAACCCTTTATATGGATATAATTTGGACACATTTTATGCAAATTACTAACCTTAGACATGCATGAAAATATTAAATAATTGAATATACTTAATATGCAATTAAAAGAGCAAAAAAGTACATACTGAGAGGGAAATTGTCATCAAAATTTCATATTTACATTTGTGTATCTGCATTTAAGTTTTTTTTTCTTCATTGTTGTTTTAATGTGACAATATAAATCTGAGATTTTAATTCTACAGAAGTGCTGTGTGATCCAGCAGTCACCGCCCGATTGTCTGACACCAAGGTGACTAAATTTGGATTTGTACATTTGCACATATAGCTTGTAGCATTGCCATCACAGTGTGATGTTTAATACTAGGTGATGTTTTTTTTTCTGTTTTAGGCAGCTGGAGAGGTTAAGGCTTTGGAAGACTTTTACAAGATGCTTCAACAGGAGCCTGATCGAGCTTTCTATGGGTGATCAAAATCACTACTATTTAAAGGGGTCATATGATGATTTTTTAAAGATCATTATTTGGTGTAACAGAATATGTTGACATGCTTTAATGTTCAAAAAACACATTATTTTTCAAATACTGTACATTATTGTAAGTCCTCTATGCCCCGCCTCTTTAAAAAACGCTTCGTTTTCTAC